CTAGAGACAGGATCCGCTCTATCACGCAGGCTGGAGTGCAGTGGAGCCATCATGGTTCACTGCAGCCTCAAACTTCTGGGCTCAAGCAATCCTTCCACCCCAGCCTCCCGAGTAGTAGCTGGGGATTATAACCGCATGCCATCCTACCTGGATAATTTTCTAATTTTTAATTTTTTTTTTCAAGAGATAGGATCCAGGCTGGTCGTGGTGGCTCATGCCTGTAATCCCAGCACTTTGGGAGGCCGAGGCAGGCAGATCACTTGAGGTCAGGAGTTTGAGGCCAGCCTGGCCAACATGGTGAAACCCCATCTCTACTAAAATTACAAAAAGGAGCCAGGCATGGTGGGGGGCGCCTGTAGTCCCAGCTACTTGTAAGGCTGAGGCAAGAGAATCGCTAGAGCCCGGGAGGCAGAGGTTGCAGTGAGCCAAGATCGGGCCACTGCACTCCGGCCTAGGCAACAGAGAAAGACTCCGTCCCCCACCCCCGGCACCACACACACACAAAGAGATAGGATCTGGCTCTCTTCCCCAGGCCGGAGTGCAGCGGTGTGATTATCACTTACTGCAGCCTTGACCTCCTGTGCTCAAGCCATTCTCCCAAGTAGTTGGGAATACAGACACCTGTCACCACACTCGGCTAATTTTTTAAATTTTTTGTACAGACAGGGCCTCATTTTGTGGCCCAGGCTAGTCTAGATCTCCTGGGCTCAAGTGATTCTCCCTCCTCAGTCTCCAGAGTTGTTAGGATTATAAGAGCAAGCCACCACACCCGGCTGTGGGTTATAAATTCTGTCCCCCTCCAACAAGCAAATAACAAACAAACAAAAAAAACCCACACTCAGTCACAGAGTGACCTGAGTCTTAGTAGTAGCATTTTAATGGCAGCAGCCCCAAGAGGAGAGTGAGAGTCTGCTCTGCCCCCGGAGCAGGGGGCTTGGGCTTGGAGGGGCCATCCCAGCAGACCTAACCATCCACCTCCTTCCACTGAACTGAGGCCAGGAAAGTGCGGATTTCCATGGGTTCCAGCGTGATGTTGGCCGGGTCCAGCTGGTAGGGAGTTTGGTGGGGTGTGGGGCCTGGAGAGGTGTGGGGGAAGGAGGAGTGAGGGGGTGCAGACTTCCTCTGACTTACCCCACTATGCTTCCTCCCCTGGTTCTGGACACAGCTGCACATCCCCGAATCTGTCTCCAGGGCCTCAATCCCAGACTCCTAACCTGCTTCCCCAGCCCTGAATACACTCCCAGGTCCAATGCCTGGCCACTGTCCTCATACCCTCAATTTGACCCCAAGGGTGATGGACACCCTCCCAGAACTAGACACGAATGGGGATTTTCAAATCTTGTTTTAGGGAATAAACACCACCCACAAACCTCAAGACCCATTCCCAGTTTGCCGTACCCATTTCAGATCCGTTAAGCCCTAACCTGGATCTGGACTCTGCCCCAATACCCTCATGACCCGTTTGGGTCCTGGCCAACATCCCATGCCTCACACATTGCCCCCACCTGCCGGCCCCAGGTAAGACTCCACCCCTTCCCTACCCCTGAGCAGGGTCCCACCTGTGTTTGTTGCCCACTTGAGCCTGGAGGCTGCCTCACGGAGCTGGTTGGCCACCAGCGTGGTCTCCTGCAGGCGGGTGATGGTGAAGGTGGAGAACAGGTCCTGCGGGGAAGGGGATGGGCCCAGATGAGTTGGAGCAAAGCCAGGTTTCCCTTCTCTCCCTCTTTCTTGCCTCTCTCCGATCTCCTTCTCAATTCTGCCCTTCTCACCCTCAAGTTCAAGGTAACGGGGGCGCTCAGGTTACGTCCGGAATCCTCTCCCACGGCAAACTGGTGCTCCAAGCGCAGCAGCACCATCTCGGGGCCCCAGCTAGCCAGCGTGAGCAGGTGCACCGAGGGCGGCAGCTCCCTGCGCAACCCGGAGAACTGCGGGAGAGATGGCGGGGCTCAGTTTGAGGGGGCGGGGCCTGGATGGAGAAGGGCGGGGCCGAGCCAGGTCAGGAGGCAGGGCTAGGTTGTAGGGGCGGGGTTTCGCCGGAGAGGGGCAGGCTCAGCCGAGAGGAGAGGCCAGGGCCGTGAC